ACATATCTTCCATTTAAAAAAAAATCTACAAAACAAAATAATTTTTGCTGAATAATATTTTGATTGTAAGACAAAAAACAAATGAATTGCATGGCTAAGAAGTTGCAGTTTAGGGTTTGTCAGATTTGTCAGTGTTAGAGTTCTTCTGTTCTTTTCTGTAGATGGGCATGTATATTGCTCATTGTTTGTATATCCCCATCCCTTCCTTACAGCCAAAAGCTCTAATGCCGCCCGACCGCTTCGTACTGCCTTTACATGGACATGGCAACTGACTTACACTGTCACCCTCATCACCCTCATTTCCTATGTAGTATGTTCATAGGTCCCACCCCTTCTTCACCTTCTCCCTTGTCTTTAGAGATATTAGAGTATAAAGTCATCCATCCATTCTACAGATCAAATTACAATTAAAGCAAAAACTGTAACATGAATAGATTTTAGATACTATTGAAGTCTATTGGAATGAAAACAATTTTTTGTAAAAACAATTATTTACAAGGAAAAACAAAACATAAAAAACAGAATTATGGTGTTTATTTTTATGTTATGTGTTGTGGATGTATGTGTTGTTGCCTCCCTGTACCGTCGTGTTTTAAGATAGAACACAGTCTACAATGAATAAAATGATCTGTAACGGTACTGTGGCTANTGCTCATTGTTTGTATATCCCCATCCCTTCCTTACAGCCAAAAGCTCTAATGCCGCCCGACCGCTTCGTGCCGCCTTTACATGGACATGGCAACTGATGTACACGTTCACCCCCATCTATGTCATTTCCTTCCTAGTATGTTCATAGGTCCCACCCCCGTCTCACACTCCCTCCTCCCGAACCCTTTACGTAGAGATTCTAAGATATGTACAGTCATCCATTTGTTCATTACTAAGGTTAAAGTCGAGCAAAAAAAAAAAAAAAAAGTAAAAGAGTCATCTAATCAGGCTGTAGATATTTATGAAGAGACTTATCTATCAAAGCAAGAATTATAGATATACAGTTTTCTTTTTATACAAAAATTAAATGACTTATTAAAAGAATAAAAAAAGATATCCTGAACAGAATGGTGAAGATTATTTTTCATGTCATGATGTGTGGATGTATGTGTTGTTGCCTCCCTGTACCGTCGTGTTTTAAGATAGAACACAGTCTACAATGAATAAAATGATCTGTAACGGTACTGTGGCTATCCAACATTCTTACACAACTTTTCCTTTGTAAATTCTTTTCTTCATGCCTAAATCATGCGGGCAATTTGTTGATGTAAGTTGACAATATACAGTATGTATGTTTACACTCCATTTGACATTTTTTTGAAGATGCAGTTTGTAAAATGTGGTGATTGGAGCAAAATGTTTATTCTTGTGTATCTCACCCTAAACACAAAGTGATGAAGAAACATAGTTGGTGCTACATGTCGCAGTTTAAACAGTTTCACATCACTGAATTATTTAGTCCTGTAGGAAACACCAATCTTATGAAAACAGGTGGGTGCTAGTTTTAAACTGCTGTCTAACAAGTGTAGAATTTCCTCATATAAATGACTCCTGTTCAAAACTAATCAAAAACAATAATCAACTCACAAATCCTATGATACACCACGTGTTTCAATAGGATCAAGTCCTATAGTATAGGCTGACTCACTAGTCATCATTGAGTGGTACTCTATATGAACACAGTGTTACATGTACTACCAACCTACTACAAACATCTCTTTGAAATAGGTAGTCTAAAAGCTTACAAACTGCATCTCCAATCATACTGAAAACATTGATAACTGAATCTGATAAATGAGTCTTTAATAGTGTTTTGTTGTTTGAATTATAGAATAAAACGACATTTGTTTGATCCACAGAGATTTATGTTTGTGAATGTATATGTTGGTGTTTGTAATTATTTGTGAATTAAATTACAGTTTAATTGATACACAGTGTGCATCAAAGATGAAGTATGCACATGCTTGATGGCAGTGGATACTTTTAATGTCAATGGCACTCTGAATGTTCACTTCAAAGATACCTGCTTGAGATCACATTTCCATGATAAATGAGTCCAAGTTCTTTGGAACTTCTCCCCCAAAAAAGTGCCCTTGTCACCAGAATATCTGCTTATTTTTGCTTAAATGTCCTGTTTGGCATTGAAGGTCATGATGCAAACATCACATAAAAAATTGCAGTTTAAATCTATGTCTCTCCAAACTCATATGCACCCACAACAGCAGACAATGCTTTAACTATGAATGCTGCTGCAAAGAAGCCACACATTCTAAAACGTGGATGCTTCAACCACATCTTCAACCTGGCATCATAGGTGATATAAGCACTCAGAACAGTTTCAAGGTAGACACCCAAGATTTGTGTTACCAATTAAGTATCTGACCAAATGTCTCCCCTTCTGTTCCCGAGTTATGGCATTGAGTAGATGAGCTAGAAGAGTGCTTTACATAACATTGTAGTCTCACAGTAAAGTTGACCTTTGGATATGAAATGTCATTACTTAATCATTTTATCCTATTAAACATTTGTGTGAAATTTTGTCATAATTAGCATACAAATTCTTGAGTTATTACCAAAAACATGTTTTGTGAGGTCACAGTGACCTTTAACTTTGACTTTGGACCAGCAAATTCTAATCAGGTTGTCCTTCAGTCCAAGAGGATATTTGTGCCACATTTTAGGATATTACCTGGAGGCATTCTTGAGATATTGAATGGGAAAATGGGACGGATGTACAGACATCCCGAAACCCCAACCCCATTTTTATGCCGTGCTGTGGCATAGAGGAATAGAGAACAAATTGTATTTTATAACTGAAGTTGTTTAACACCTCATGAAGACTCTGCAAAGACAGAGCAACATAATTACAGTGTAAGAAATGTGGCCATTTGAAGCCTTTTGTTGTTACTGAATTGCAGTGTTGAATAAGTTACTGAGCCAAGCTCTGTTAAAGAGGGTTTCAACTCTAAAAACATGACGTAACATGGAGGCATGGTTGCTTAACCATGCCTCCATGTTACATCATGTTTTTAAATAATACAGAAAAAGACATTGAGACCAAATTGTTTAACAAGCAGTCTACCAAAGCCTTCAAGGCAAATAGAGTACATATTTCACAAAGGTTGAGCATTCAGGTGACTTTGCTCTGCCATTGACATTATATAAACTTAAAGTCATTGGAGCTGGACAGCTTTTTCTTGGTCACAGAGCTGTTCTTAGGACAGAGTCATGAATTGTTGGATAAAAATAAGCCATAATGAACCAAGCCTAATGCCAACAACATTTGGATGACAGGTAAATGAAACGTACATGATTAGTGTTTTCTGTTTTGTGACAAAATCTCTCTCCACGATCTGGAATACCCTTCATGAAATTTGCACAAATGTGAACCTGACTATCTGATACAGTAAATTAGCAACTACAAAAGTTTGTATGTACAAACACTGATAAAACTAACATGCACACATTTCTTGGTAGTGACAAAATGCAAATTTTTGGATATTTACTTTCCACAAATGGTTTGCAGAGAATTTATCGGATGTTTCTCTTATTGTTTTTTTTTTTACAGTTCCAACTTCACTATTGGTGGTTACAAAGGTGACTACATGCCCAAACAAACTGCCTGTTTCCTCTCACTAAATTTTAGCTTTAAGATTGACTTTGAGATCACTTTCCTCCAGAACAGTTCTGTGTCTGAGAAAGGTTGTAGAACTATGACCGCAATTTTCTGTTTTTCCATAATTACTCAAGAGGTTTAAGATGATTGGAGAGTCATTGAGCAATGACACTGCTGTCAGTCTGTCATTTCTATTATAATAGCAATCTGTAGTTTGGATAATACCATTAATTTCATCTTAATTAATGTGCTGTGAAATGAATTGTGTTTTTTTAGTATTAGAAGATTTCCTTCTTATTCAAAAAGTGGGAAAAATAGGATTAATAGTGATTATAGTACCTTTTGATTGTGACTACACTGTTGAACACACTTTCATTTAGTTGTATTTAGCAAAACAATGTTTACCATTTTACATTTCAAGATTGCACTCTACATTAAAAGTTACTTAAATGATATTGAGAAAGAACCAATTACTTAACCATTAGAAAGCACACTGGATTTAAAGCAAACTTTGCTCAATTTTCTGGCTCATCCTTGCACACCTCTTAAGCCTTTTGAAATTTACATACGATTTATGCCTATTTCCTTTCTTTTGTCTTGATTAAAGGGGTGTAAATTGATATGCCAAGATTTTGGTTTGGGTTTTGTTGTCACCTGTTTTGTTGCTCTATCCAGTAGCATCTAATTAAGTGTGTTTCATTAAAAAAAAACAAAAACAAAAAAAAAACAACTTGCTGCCATCTTTCATGACTGCCTATCTCTGTCCAACCCTAGGAGCTGAATTAGTCATCCCAGTACTTCAGGATCCATTAGCGCACCCCTCTGTAGCTTCATTCCCACTCCCTCAACCCACCACCCACTCCTCACCATTATTGAGACCACCAAAGAGTCCCTGTCCAAGGCCACTGAGGCGGGGGTACCTTGCTTGTCGGACCGAGGCAGCGATGATTGTGATGATGATGGCTTGGTGATATCGGGGTATGGCTCTGGGGAAGCGTTCAAGTCTAACCTGCCCCCTACTGATGATGAAGATTTTTACACGACCTTCTCCTTGGTAACAGATAAGACCTTATCCACGTCAGGCTTTGAAGGTGGCTACAAAGCTCACACGCCCAAGACTTTTAGACCTAACAAACCTTCAATCTCCAGACGCGGTAGGAGTACCACTACCGCCATACCACTAACCGCCGACCAGAGCCGCACCACCGCCACCTCTGCCTCCACCGCAGCCCTCCACAATGCTCCGGCGAAACAGCCGGCTGACCAAATGAATAACCGCGAGCTAAAACCCCAGCCCGTCCTAGTGTTGCTCCATTGCCCACATCCTTTGAGGTAGACAGCACCAAGCTGAGGGGCCCATTAATAACCTCCCCAATGTTCCATAATATACCCACAGCACTCCCCACAGAGCCGGGCGTCAGGCGAGTTCCAGGGCCCTCGGAAGTGGTCCGTGAATCTAGCAGCACCACCGGGATGGTCATCGGAATAGTCGCGGCCGCTGCCCTGTGCATCCTCATCCTTCTGTATGCCATGTATAAGTACAGGAACAGGGATGAAGGCTCCTACCAGGTGGACGAGAGCAGGAACTACATAACCAACTCAGCAGTGCAGAGCAATGGCGCTGTCATGAAGGACAAACAGCAGAGCTTGAAAGGCAGCAACAAGAAACAAAAAAATAAGGACAAGGAGTATTATGTGTGACTGTGAGACTTTCGTGAAGATGAGAGAATGAAGAAAGAAAGCACTAAGAGAACATTTACTTATCAGTTTCCTTGCAAGGAGCTATGACAAATGATGGTATAACATGGAACTTGAATAATCCTATACTGTGCTGAGTAGTTGAACTGAAGATATGTACTGTAATATAAAGCACACTTACTATTGTAAGCATAACGACCAGGCTAAATAGCAGTTTTAGAGAACTTACTCTTCTATTTGGTCAGAGACATTATCAGTATAGAAATATTCCATAGCTACATCATTCTCCTAAGTGACTTTTAGAGCTATGTGATCCTTGGCATTGAAACAACTTTTTTGTAAAATTGTTAATTACAAAAGGCTCATAATCTTATACATTTTCAGCATGTAAGTAGTGTTAACAAGAGGGGGTCAGGCACACCATTACTGTAAAGGTTAAAAAAAGGACTCTTACTGTATCAGATTATGAGAATTTTTTATGGTTTATACATAACACAAGTGTGGTGTCTACCATATTTTTGCTTAAAGCAAAAGGGAAAAAATGACAAAACAACAGCAAGTGAAGAAAACTATGTCTGTGGATAAAATGATACAAAGTGAGCAAATTGCCATCGGCAGATCTCCTAAAATCTATTTGCTCTGGCATCTGATTCACCACAATTATTCTCATTGTTTGACAGTGAGACTCACTTAATGAATAGAAGTGATGGGTTCTCTGCATAAAAAGCAACTGATAGTAAAGTGCATGCCATCCTAATTCTACAGTAAAGTCCAGTGCAGTAAATTTCCAGTATGCAGTGTTCAACTTTGACCATGTTCTTATAATTAATGCCAAACAGTTCTTCACTATCAGATCAGAGCTTAGGCCCTCTTTTTGAACCCTTCAAAAATTTAAACTGGACAAAACAATGTCTAAAAAAGGTCCATTATTGATGCACAGCCAATGGTGGTTTTATCTCTTTGCAAAACTGTATGTAAGTTTGTTGCCTGTCGTTCTCTTTTTCTACTGAGGTGTCAGGAGGAAGACAATTGCAGTACTACAACACTGTTAAGAAATGTGTATACAGAAATAAATCAAATGTTGAAAGTGTGAATTCTATCTGCTGTCACAGTCAACTGTGTCAAAAAACAGGAAATTTGTTTACATATTTTATTACATGCTAGCTGTTGTACTTTGTAGGTAGGAAATTGTACATATACCATGACAGTTGTAATTTTTAGTACTTCTACTGTACAGACTAAACATATGGTTTATCAGCGTATTTCATGACAGAATATACTAACTGTTAATTTACATGGAGAAAAACTTTAATCACAATGTGGAAAATCATATTGATATTTCATAAAGGATAAAATGTATTGTTAGCCTAGAGATCTAACCAGAGATGTTTCTAAAGTTGCATGAATATTTAACTACTTGCAGTTGTCCTACAAATACAAGGTGCCCTTCCTTCTGTATCTTGGCTTTCTTGTCCTGGGTTACATTAGTGATATTTCTTTTTCAAAGAGAATTAAGTCAGAGTTATGACAAATACAGAAAGACAAAGAGGCTATAATGGATGGGGGTTCACAGTTTAAACGAGCTAAAATGGTGAGGGGTCTCTTTTTTTAAATGGGACTGGTCACCTCAAATCATTGTCTTGTCACCTTTTGATCATTAGTTAACAATATTTTATTGTCCCATTATGTTTCTCTTTTCTGCTGCCATTTGATTATGAGGAGGTGCAGTGTTTTCCTTGCCTGAAATTCATATTTTTTGTGTTATGACTGTTTCTTTTCATAACCTTTTTTCATCAGTTTGACAGCAAATAAAACACTTTTTTTCTCTGAAATCATGCTGTAGTCCTTGGATAAATCAAATCATTCAATTATTCATGGCAATACAGTACCACTTTGAGTACAACCTCATTCTTACTATACAGTCATTTAGACTCAACTGGATTAAGAAAAGGAGACAGTTTTAAAGACCCTTTCAAATTTTTAGTTTTTCTGTGTAATGGCAGGGCCACACCGCCCGCGGAAGCGCTGCGAATAGCCTCGAAGCGAAGCCAGTTTCCTTTCGACGCCCATGTTAACTGATTGTGTCTTCCATGCTGGCCGTGCCGCGCAGCTCCGTGGCCGGCCCTGCAGCAATCGTTTCGGCGTCTGGCCTATTTTCTGCGTGAGCCGCGAACGAATGTGTCAAGCCGGGCAGGAAGTCAAACAAAGGAACAACAACAGCATCCGGTCATTTTTCAGAATAAAACAAATTTCAAAATAAAACAGCCCGTTTGACAAATGCGATGTATATATGTGTGTGTGTTTATATACATATACTAATTACTAAGAAGTGAACATATATGTACAATTGTTAGGAAAACATGGTGTATAATTTTATGAGGTTATTTACTTACCCATGATGGAAAAACAGCCCCAAATGTGACGGAGACAACAGCTGGGAGCAGAAGCGCTTGTCGACCGGCGTGGAGAAATGCACGTCTGATGTGAACTGAATTGCTCCTGCTCGTGCGAGAATTTCGGTGTGCTGTGCTTTGTGGCACTTCGCTGGCAGTGTGGCCCTGGCGTGACATTAAACATAAATAAATAAATGAGGAAAAATCATTGTTTAGCTAATCTGCTTCATCAGGACTGTGTGGTTGTAGTTTGATCAGATTTGATTTGCAGTGGCCTAGCAACATGAGCAAATAATGAAACTGTCATCAGATTTTAATGTGAATGTTTAATTCTAACTGATGCATGAAAGTACGTCAGTAAGTATAGACCGAGTAACAAGGTTTATGTACAATAACGTCTGGGTAGTAAAAACCCCCATGACCCGTCCCTCGCACGTAACATATCAAAGTATACGACCTCGTATCAGGAAAGCATTAAAGTTTCCTCTGAATATATCCCATGGTGATATATGTTTCATCACGAGAGAAGCCTCCCTGATCAAATCAGCCCACTTTTTGGCCAGTCAAATACCTGTGTGCTCGGCACGGCTCGGTCCTTTATGCCCTTTTTCCGCTTGGTCCGTTCTTCCCTTTTTTTTTGCCCTTCGTCCCTTCTTCCTTTTTTTCCCCCTTCAGTGCTGTTTTGTTCATTCTAGTAGTGTCTTTTCCGGTTTTAGTTATCTGTTCTTAGTTTTTCAGTCTTCTAGTCTTTTGCGAGTTATTCCCCATTATTCGTACTGTTAGTTCTGCCATGCTTATTCATATTTTACCTCCTTGTAGTGCGTAATTTCCTTTATTACACTTTTAACTCTTTTGTGCTCACGATCAAAGTTATTTTGAACTTTTAAATTTTGTTGATCCAGTTTTCTGTTATCTCCAGTGTTTTCAACATTTTTTGCGCGTTGATAATAACTTTGACAACAATATCGAAGGGCCAACAATATTGTATTCACCATTATTATAAGCAAGTAATCAGAATGAAGTAGACCAGCACCTGCCAACCAGCCTCTTCGCCCCAGATTCATCGGAACCAGCAGCTGCCAGCCACTTGCCACAGTGGTCCTCCTGCCAAGCCCAAAGGCCTTCTGCAGCGTGAACCAGCCCAGTGGGCACCCACAGGACATCGCAAATTCAACTGCTTTCCCCCTCCTGCTGTGAGACAGCTGTTCCATTCTGCTGGAAAGTCCGGGAACTGCCACGCGACACTCCAGGGGCCCAAGAGGAGCTTCACCTTTGATCCCTGCTGCTAAAAGTAGGCCAAAACGTCCATAACTTGAGTGAGCCGCTGTGCGGTGAACAGTGAGGTCGAGCAGGAGGCTTAGTTAATTATCCTGATTTTAATTTAGGTTTCATTAGGCCTATGTGAATGGTTTTGCACATTCCTGCGTTCCCCATTTATAATATAGGCTATTTTAATATACTCTCCCACTATCACCAAACTAAGTAGGCCTAACTCCCACGAGTGTTACTTCTCATTTCATTCCATTTATATAATGTTAATTTTGTGTTGTGTCATATAATCATCATTTGCTATTCATTTATTCAGTTGTTACCTATTTAGTTAAAATAAATCTTCATATTTAAGTCGTTGTCTGTGTATATATCTTTTGGACAGGATCTGAGATCACTATATAGAGAATTCATAACCCAGATATTGAGATTGATTCATTATTGATAAGCATGCTGACGAATTATTAAGTGATTTACGGAGTTATTAATTTGATTAGTCGCTTCCCTCGTTAGGAGGGTGGTGCCCCAAAATTTATTACGAGTGCAAATATTCTCAGAGGTATTTCCCCTACATATCTGGTGTCGTCCATGTGAGGCCTTATCAAATCATTGTTCCTGTAAACAGGTTATACAAGCAGACAAACCTTGACGATTTTAACGGCGATAGTGGAAATACATTTCCCCGATAGCCCCCGTAAGGTTTATCATATTAGCATATTCTGAGCAGGTTGTCCACTGGAGGATCGATCGTGTGTGTTTCACTCTTTGTACTTCTGATTTGTGTGTGAGCATTAATAACGGCAGTAAAGTATAACTTTTGGGTGGATGACGCTAAACCCAAAAGCTAGATGATTTAAATCCTCGCGTTCAGACCATGGTAAATGATATATTTGTGTTATAATCTCTCAGATATCTGCATATGAAGCGTCTCGTACGCATTAAGAAAGGCCTATTTGACACACTGACTGCCGTGAAACGCGGAATCATAATTGTGTCCTGTTTTAATTCAGTTTTGCTGCGATACTCCAGAAAGTTGTAATTAATTCAGACCCTCTGTGTCTTCTGGTTAGATTAGCTACCTAGCCGAGACAGCTGCGAGACAGCAGTGAAGAGGTAAAAGTTTTTTCTGTTGCTATGGTAACGCTTGTGTTGGAACAGCGCTGACTGTTGCCGAGCTTTAAAGTGATTCACTGCTTTGGTAAGAGTGAATGAAATTGTTGCCAAACGATAAAGTGTTAGCTGATTGCCCTGCTTGGGTAACTGTGCTAAACGGGTGAAGCCGCCGTGCTCATCATGATGGCTATGATGTTTTGCCCTGGGTGTTTTGAGTAGTTGTGAGCTGCTGAGGCGAAACAGCCGAAGACACTCAGTGGGCGGTGCTAAACCGTCACTTCCTGCCCTAATCTTCTTCTACTATTTAGTACTCCCTCAGAATAGCGCCCTCTCAGGCTATTCTGCCCAATTGCATTGCAGGCTTAAAATTGCACAGCGCCCTCTGTGGTTGCTGTGCCTCATTACATTGTATCTAAAATTGAACAGCGCCCTCCCCGGTTGCTGTCCCTCATTACATTGAATTTACAAATTGAACAGCACCCTCCCTGGCTGCTGTCTCTCATCACATCAAATTTGCAAATTGAACAGCGCCCTCTTCTGCTTACTTTGCCTCATTTCATTTGGTGTGCAAATTGAACAGCGCCCTCTCCTGGTTGTTGGTTAACTGAGTTTGGTTCACAAATTCAAACTGTCTACAAGTGATGAGTCTTAAATAACCAACATTGATTTAAGTTAAGTCTGGTTAACTTTGCCATCCCATTACCATTATTCTTATCATTATACAAAACAATTTCTTTTAAACCTTAGTTAACCTATATTAAGCCTGATTTCATTTTAAAGGGTATTTAAACACACAGAGTTGTCTTACCATTCATAAAAAAGTGGCTTATTTTGTGTGTTTTGATCTAAATTGTGATTAATTACAAACTGTGCTATGTGATTTTTATTTTCTTCACAGGAAATTGTAAACAGACTAATCACTCTAGTTACTGAAAACTCACTAGTTACTATTGCCTGTTTATGTGACTGTTACTGTAGAAAAATTACTTTCTCAAAAGGAGAATAATTATTTTTCATCTCAAACGAAAAATTTAAATTTACCAATCTGACTTTCTATAACTACTAATAGCAATATTTATTTGTAAAGCTAACAAACATACACATATCTATCAATCTATATATATATATATATATATATATATGGAGAGAGAGATGGAGATCTATCTACACTGTAAAAAAAAAAAAAAATGTTAAAAAAACGGTAAATGACTGGCAGCTATGGCTGCCAAACAAAAACCGTCAAATAAAAGTAAAATATTGCAATTCAGTGCAAAAACATTAAATTGACAGAAATTGTCATTAAAAGGTTCTGCAGAAAAACAGCTATTTTACAGATTTTTCCTCAATTATTATAATCAAACACCTTCAATAAAGTGATAATTCTAAAATATCTGCAGAAAAATACTGTTATTTTACAGATTTTTTCTCAATTATTACAATCAAACATTTTTAATAAAGTGATAATTCTCAAGTTTTTGCAGAAAAATACCGTTATTTTACAGATTTTTCCTCAATTATTACGATCAAACACCTTCAATTAAGTGATAATTCTAAAATTTCTGCAGAAAAATACTGTTATTTTACAGATTTTTACTAAATTATTACAATCAAACAGCTTCAATAAAGTGATAATTCTAAAGTTTTTGCACAAAAATACCGTTATTTCATAGATTTTTACAAAATTATTACAATCAAACACCTTCAATAAAGTGACAATTCTAAAATTTCTGCAGAAAAATACTGTAATTTTACAGATTTTTACTAAATTATTATGATCAAACACCTTCAATAAACCCCAAAACACCTTTAAAATACAGTCAAATGACTGGCAGCAACGGCTGCCAAACAAAAACTGTAAAATGAAAGTAAAATATCCTAAAAAACCTTACATTTACAGACATTTTCATTAAAGGTTCTGCAGAAAATTTCATAATTGGATAGATTTTTCCTAAATTATTACAATCAAACGCCTTCAATAAAGTGTCAACACATGCTCAAGATTGTAAAATAACAAAGTAAGAAGTCTGAATACACTGCATAAAACAGATTAAAATCAT